AAAAAAAAAAGGTCGAGAAGGGAGAGGGTTGACATGTCGTGGGGTTGTTAACCAATGTCATAAAACAATATGTGTACTGACTGTTTAACGAGAAACTAGTTGTTCTGTAAACCTTCACCTGAAGTACAATTGAAAAAAAAAAAAAGATTTACAGCCTTGGAAACCCTATGGGGCAGCTCTACTCTGTTTTATAGGGTCACTATGAGTTGGAATCAACTTGACAGCAACGGGTGGTAAATGCTAGACGACAGGAAGAAGAAATGGCTATTTGTTGTTGTCGTTACGTGCTGTCGAGTCCTGCGCCATCCTCACAATCCTTGCCATGTTTGAGCCCATTGTTGCAGCCACTGTGTCAATCCATCTCGTTGAGGGTCTTCCGCTTTTTTGCTGACCCTCTACCTTACCAAGCATGATGTTCTTCTCCAGGTGTTGGTCCCTCCTAATAACACGTCCAGAGTACTTGAGACAGTTTTGCCATCATCATTTCTAAGAAGCATTCTGGCTGTACTTCTTCGAGACAGATTTGTTCGTATTTCTGGCACTCCATGGTATGTTCAATCTTCTTCACAAACACCATAATTCAAAATCATCAATTCTTCAGTCTTCCTTATTCACTGTCCAGCTTTTACATGCATATGAGATGATTGAAAATACCATGGCTTGGGTCAGGTGCACCTTAGTCCTTAAGGTGACATTTTTGCTTTTTAACACTTTAAAAAGGTCTTTTACAGTAGATTTGCCCACTGCAATACGTTGTTTGATTTCTTGACTGCTGCTCCCATGGGCAATGATTATGGATCTAAGTGAAACAAAATCCTTGACAACTTCATTCTGTTCTCCATTTATCATGATGTTGCTTACTGGTCCAGTTGTGAGAATTTCTGTTTTCTTAATGTTGAAGTATAATCCATATTGAAGGTTGTAGGCTTTGATCTTCATCAGTAAGTGCTTCAAGTCTCTTCAGTTTCAGCAAGCCAGGTCGTGTCATCTGCATATCACAGGTTGTTAATGAGTCTTCCTCCAATCTTGACCCCACATTCTTCTTCATACAGTCCATCTTCTGGGATTATCTGCTCAGTATACAGATTGAATTAGTATGGTGAAAGGATACAACCCTGACACACATCTTTCCTGACTTTAAACCACGCAGTATCCCCTTGTTCTGTCTGAACCACTGTCTCTTAGTCTATGTACAGGCTCCTCATGAACACAATTAAGTGTTCTGAAATACTCATTCTCCACAATGTTATCCATAATTTGTAATAATCCATGCATTCAAATGCTTTTGCACAGTCAATGAAACACAGGTAAATAGCTTTCTGCTATCCTCTGCTTTTAGCCAAGATCCACCTGACATCAGCAATGATATCTGTCATTCCACATCCTCTTCTGAATCTGGCTTGAATTTCTGGCAGTTCCCTGTTGATGTACTGCTACAACCATTTTTGAATTGTGTTCAGCAAAATTTTACCCACATGTGATATTAATGACCAATAATTTCCACATTTGGTTGGATCACCTTTCTTTGGAATAGGCACAAATATGGATCACTTCCAGTTGTTTGGGCAGGTAGCTGTCTTCCAAATTACTTAGCATAGATGAGTGAGCACTTCTACCGTTGCATCCGTTTGCTGAAATATCTCAACTGGCAGTTCGTCAATTCCTGAAGCCTTGTTTTTTGACAATGCCTTCAGTGCAGCTTGGACTTCTTCCTTCAATACCATCGGTACTTGATCACATGCTACCTCATGAAATGTCTGAACGTCGACTAATTCTTTTTGGTACAGTGACTCTGTGTATTCCTTCCGTCTTCTTTTGATGCTTCCTTCATCGTTCAATTTTTGCCCATAGAATCCTTCAATATTGCAACTCAAGGCTTGAATTTTTTCTTCAGTTCTTTCAGCTTGAGAAATGCCAAGCATGTTCTTTCCTTTTGGTTTTCTAACTCCGGGTCTTTGCACATTTCACTGTAATACTTCATTCTGTCTTCCTGAGATGGCCTTTGACGTCTTCTGTTCAGCTCTTTCATTTCATTTCCTCCTTTTGCTTTAGCTACTCTACATTCAAAAGCAAGTTTCAGCGTCTCTTCTGACATCCATTTTGGTCTTTTCTTTCCTTCCTGTCTTTTTAATTACTTTTTGCTTTCTTCATGTATGATGTCCTTGATGTCATCCCACAACTCATCTGGTTTTAGGTCATTAGTGTTCAATGTGTCAAATCTATTCTTAAGACAGTCTGGAAATTCAGGTGAGATAGACTCAAGGTTGTACTTTGGCTCCCGTGGACTTGTTCTAATTTTCTTAGGCTTCAACTGTATAAAAATATATAAATATATACAAGCGAATGATTAAAGGAAGATGGGTAGGTGATGCTGTCAGGAAGATTTCCCTGAACCTCCTAAGATGGATCTTGACATACAGGTAGAATTTTGACAGCTGGCGAAGTTTCTATAGATTCAGTATCAGTGCATTGTTCTTATCATCCCATTATATCTCTAAATCTTATTCCTTTTTTAGAATTTCTTCCTCAGATATCTACTCATTCTACATGTGTTCTCTCCTCTAGCATCAACTATCATCTCAATGTAGGCATTCCTATTATATCCCTAACCTCTTCCCCAAATTCTACATCCACACTTCAAATGTCTATTGGGCATGCCAACATTTATGTCCTAGAGGCACCAAAGGAATCAACATGTCCAAGGTAGAACTTCCCAAATATACTTTTACTTCTGAGTTCCCTCCCTCAAGTAAAAGCATCACTAAAAAAAATTTCAAACCAGTCACCCACAGGTCAACTCCAACTCATGGTGACTCCATGTGTTTCACATTAGAACTGCACTCCATAAGGTTTTCAACGGCAGTGATCTTTCAGAAGTAGATGGCCAGATCTTTCTGCTGAGGCTCCTCTAGGTGAATTCAAGCCACCAACCTTTCAGTTAGTAGCCGAGCACCTAACCGTCTGTGTCACCCAGGAACTCCTAATACCATCACATTCACCCAATTATTTAGGAACAAAACACTGGTGTCGTCTTCAATTCCTCCCTGATCCTTAGCCACCTCATCAGTTCTTATGGTCCCCTAGTATCTTCAGGTTTTGAAATGTAACGTCTATTTTAAACCTAACCTGGTACTGTTATATATTCAAGCAGTTAGACAAAAAAAATCCCTCACTGTTCGTTATATTTGGCAAGTGAGGAAAAACATACTTGAAAAATAACAAGAATAAACCATAGCTGAACAATAATAAAACCAGTTTTCTAAAAGACTCATATTTACTTAGATACTCCTTCCTAAAAGTGAACAAAAAGACAGGTTATTCTTTCAATTTACAGTCAAGTACCTTGAATGCATGGTCTGTATTACTTCTTGTGCCATTTCCCTTAAAAGTTGTATTCTATGCCTCTCTTTCTACCAAAAGTGTTCTCCCTAAAATGATGAAAAGACCCCTCTCATCTTCTCTCCTTTTCACCTTAAAGTGAAGGTCTATACATATCCTTTTCTCCTGCTCAAAAGAAAAAGGAGTCCCTGGTGTATAAGGCCAGTCACTCAACTTGGGCTCTCAATTCCATTTCATTCTCTGGGACTTAGTATCCTCAGACATTCACTTTTTTAACCTATTTCCCTCTACTTTCACTATGCAGATCTCCATTCTGACCAAATTTCACTTAAATGTCCTGCTTTAATCAAATTTACAAAGAGTAGTTCACAGTAGTTCACCCTCTGAACTTCCTATAACATCATCACTGAATTATTTTTCTCACAAAGACAAATTTGCACTAAACTATGCACTGTTTCATTCAAAACACACTTGGTACATACATGTCTACCATTATCGTAGGCAATAAAGAACACAAGGAAAAAAAAAATCTCTGCTCACAAGATGCTTCTCTCATAATCAAAACACATACATACTTACATTGAACTCATAATTCTGAAAATCTCAACCAAGAAACCTCTAGGGCAAAATGGTTTCTACTATAGTAGAAGAGACTTCTACTAAACATTAAAAGGAGAATTAACACGAACTCTATAAAATCTCTTACAGAAAAACGAAGAGCAGGGAACAGCCCAATTTATTTTATGAAGCTAGTATTACTCTGCTACCAAAACCAGAGAAAGACAGTACAAAAAAAAGAAAACTACAGAACAAAATTCTTCATAAGTATAGACATAAAAAACCTAACCAAAATATTAGCAAACAAAATTCAGCAAATTTAAAAGGACTGTACAACATAACCAAGTGGAGTAACATTCCAGAGATGCAAGGCTTGTTCAACATTACAAAATCAAGTAATGCAATCCACCGTATTAATAGGCTTGTTGTTATCTGCCGTTGAGTCAGCCTCATCTCATGGTGAACCCACGCGCAACAGTAAAAACACTGCCTGGTTCTGCACCATCCCCACGATCAGTTGAAGATCAGACTATTGTGATCCATAGGGTTTTTCATTGGCTGATTTTGAGAAGTAGCTCACCAGGCCTTTCTTCCTAGTACATCTTAGTATGGAAACTCCACTAAACCTGTTCAGCATCACAGCAATACACAAGCTTTCACTGACAGATGGTGATGGCTGTGCAGGAGATGCACTGGCTGGGAATTGAACCTGAGCTTCCCACATGGAAAGCAAGAATTCTACCACTGAGCCACCAACGTCTCATATTAACAGGCTAAAGAAATAAAATCACATGATCATACCAATCAATGCAGAAAAAGCATCTGACAAAACTTAACACCCAATCATGATAAAAACTCTCAGAAAAATAGGAATAGAAGAGAACTTCCTCAACTTGATAGAGCATCTACAAAAAACCTACAGTTAACATCATACTTAATGGTGAAAGACCGGATACTTCTCCCTAAAGATTAAAAAAAAAAAAAAAAAGTCTCATCACTTTTATCCAACATAGTGCTGGAAGGCTGGAAAGGAAGAAATAAAACTGTCCCTATTTGGGATAACTGGATGTCCACATGCAAAAGAATGAAAACTTCACACCATAGATAAAAATTATCTCAAAATGGATCAATGGCCTAAATATAAGAGCTAAAACCATAGAACTCTTAGGAAATATCATAGGGGTAAATCTTCAAGACCTTGCTTTTGATAATGGATTCTTAGATATGACACCCAAAGCATAATCAACAAAAGAAAAAAATAGATAAACTGGATTTCATCAAAATGAAAAATCTTTCTGCATCAAAGGAGTATACCAAGAAAGTAAAAAGGGTGTATATTCTGAACAACAAAATAAATCAAATTTTAAAAAATGACAATGCTGCATAGAATCCTACTGACCAAAAAAAGAAAGAAAAAGACAACCTACAGAATAGGAGAGAAAATATTTGGGAAACACATAGCTGATAAGGTTTTAATATCCTGAATATATAAAGAACTCCCACAACTGAACAACAAAAAACAAATAACCTAATTAAAATGGACAAAGAACTTGAATAGATATTTCTCTGAAGAAGATATACAACTGGTCAAAAAACAGATGAAAAGATGCTCCAACCTCATTATTAGAGAAACGCAAATTAATACTACATTGAGATACCACCTCATACCTACTTAGATGGCTATTATCAGGAAAAATGAAAAATAAGTGTTGGCAAGGATGTAAAGAAATTGGAACCCTTGTGGGAATATAAAATGTTACACCCACTACGGAAAACAGTTTGGTCGATCCTCAGACAGTTAACCATAGAATTGCCGTATGACCCAGCAATTCAAATTCTAAGTATATAGTCAAGAGAAATGAAAGCAGTCTCAAAAAGAAGAATATATACCAACGTTCATTGTAGTACTATATGACAACAGTAAAAGGTGGAAACAACCCAAATATCTGTCAACAGATGAATGGTGTGATGGTTAAGCTTGTGTGTCAAGTTGGCTGGGCCACGATCCTCAGTGGTTTGGCAGTTATGATGTAGTTTGGCAGCTTTTTAATTATGTAATCACCTCCATAATGAGTTCTGATATAATGTGATCACCTCCATGATGAGATCTGTTGTGAGCAGCCAATCAGTTGAAAGGGTGTTTCCTTGGGGGAATGGCCTGCATCCAATATAGGTAGACTTTCTGACAAGGCTCACTGGCTTTTGCTTCTTCTGTAACCTGCAGCTGGCTCCTGTTCATCTGACCTCCAGTTCTTGGAGCTTGAGCTGGCAGCTTACCTGCCAGTCTTGGGATTTATCAGCCTCCACAGCCTGTGAGCCAGAGGCCTGCTGTCTGAAATTCTGATCTTAGATTCGCCGGTCCCTGCAGCTACATGAGTCAGGAGAAACCTCCAGCCTGACCCACGGACTTATGACTTTCCAGCCTCTATGGCCATGTGAGCCATTTCCTTGATGTAAATCTCTCTCTATATATATTTATATGCTGCATTGGTTTTGCTTCTCTACAGAACCCAGCCTAAGGCAAATGGATGAGCAAAATGTATAGTACTGTGGGGTTTAAATTAACTTTAGGTGAAGAATTTGGTCTTTGTCCTTGGTTCCTGAGCGATAAACTCTAAAACCTTCAGATTTCCCCAGTGATTAAAGTGTCTGCAGGGTTGCTATGACTCAGAATCGACTTGATAGCAATGGGTTTTGAGTAATAAGGCTTCCAGACTAAGGGGTTTATGCTAATGAGGTACCTCTTGAGTAGGGACTAGCCAGGTCAGAGGGACCACCAAGTGATATCGGCCCAACCTGAGCGGATGGTGTGCAGTTGGGGGCGGAACTGATTCAATCAATCACAGAAGCTCCATGGGCTTCCTGGTTGACAAAAGACATTGATACATGTGGGAGGGTACCACATCTTTTTTGAGGACATGAAAGCACAAAGTTGGGAACCCTCCAGACCTTGCACTATGTGTCTCTTCATTTGTATCCTCTTTGCTATAAAACTTTAATCATTAAGTATAGTGCTTTCCTGAGTTCTGTGAGGGATTCTAGCAAATTATCAAACCCAAGGGAGTAGTGAGAGCCACCAGGTTAGAAGTAAAGGGGCCTGGGGACTCACAAGTTTATAGCTGGTATCCTGATGCAGTAGAAGAAAATCCCGAATCTATAGCCAGCCGATCAGAAGTGAGGGTGCTGAGAAGATTCCCAAGCTTGCAGTTGATGTATGAGGTCTCGGGCAGAGTTGGCACTCTGGAAGACTATGTGCCCTTTAACATGTGAGGTCTTACCTAGCTCCAGGTGGTTAGGGTTAGAAGATGAAGTACAACACGGGCAGCTGGTATCAGAACAGAGGGGAACAGAACTGATAATAAATTGATTTGGAGTGATCAACAGTTTGGTGCCAGAGAAGAGGGATTTGATTTTCCACACAATACCAAAGTTAAAAACATGCATACCCTCATGACCCAGTATTTCCCAGATATATACACAAGAGAAATGAATGCATATGTCCACTAAGACACATAATGAAGAATGTTCAGAGAAACTTATTCCTAACAGCCAAAAACTGGAAACAACCCAAATGACCATTAACAGGAAAACGGATAAATTGTGACATATTCCTACAATGGAATACTACACAGTAATAAAAAAAAGAAACTACACCCGACCACATGGATAAATTTCACAGGCATAATGTTGAGCAAAAGAAACTGGACCAACAAAAGAGTACATAGCATACTTTAGGATTCCACTTACTTGAAGTTAAAGAACAGCCCAGCTAATCTATAATGACTGATGTCAGAAAAGTGATTACCTTTGCATGTTACCTAGAAATGGTGTAATTTAGCCTTCTACAGTGCTAGCAATGCTCCACATCTACATCTAAGTGGTGGTTGCATGGATGGATATACATACAACACACACATATATAAACATCTGGACATTTTGGACTTGTTAACTTTATTGTATGTTATAGCTCAATTAGAAGCGAGGATGGCAAGAATTTATCTCATATACTTTGGACATTTATCAGGAGGGACCACTTCCTGGAGAAGGATATCATGCTTGGGAAAGTAGAGGGTCAGGGTAAAAGAGGAAGACTCCCAACAAGATGGACTGGAAGACTCCCAACAAGATGGACTGACACAGTGGCTGCAACAATGGGCTCTAACACAGCAATGACTCTGAGGATGCTGCACGACTGGGCGGTGTTTCAGTCTGTTGTACATAGGTCACCACGAGTCAGAACCAACTTGACAGCATCTAAAAATAACATAGCTCAATACTAAAGCAGAAAGAATTCTATGATGCTATCCAACCAACAGATTCTTTTTTCCATTTCTAAAATTCTGATTCTTATCAACCCAAATAAGCACATACCTACACTATTTTAAGCACCACTGAAGAAAAAAAAATCCCTGCCCATGCCTCACTCACTATCTAGTCACGAAAATAAAATAATCGACAATCAATACAACAAACAAAAAAGGTACTGATTTAAAGGATAGATAATGTGGGCTGAAATTATTATAGAATGTTTCCTGAAGGAGTTGGTAATTGGTAATGGAAAGTTAGAGTTAGAACAGAGTTAGAGAAACTGAGATTAAGGATGAGGGTAAGGATGAGAGAGAGAGAGAGAGACAGAGACAGAGAGAACATCCTAGGCATGAGTCAAGAGACAGAGGCAGCAACAGCATAGTTCATAAGGGGAAGTACGGAGACCAACCTGAATAATGCAAAGGTTACAGACTGAAGAGTGGTGCAAAATTATAATGAAAGGCCTGCAATTGAGGAGTTTCTCTTTTACAAGACTATCACTATTATATATCCATCATGAATATATGCACTTCTTCTTATTCATTTTTATCCCCTTGTCTGTTTCTCCATGTAATTAGTGCTGCACATTTACCATAGAGACGGTTGACTAGTACCGGGATTGCAGTCAATGGTCATGTAATAGAACAAAGCTAACTGGACCTCAAAGGGGCTGACCTCATGATCTTAAACTCATTAAAACGAAATTCTTAAGAATTCAGAAGTCATTGTTAGCCCCAGAGTTTGATCATTAAACTCTTCTACAAGACTCCATTTCTAGAAGGTCTGACAAATCTAGTTAAGTTTGGGAAATAAAAAGGTTCACAATATTTATTTATTTAATCTTTCTTAAAGTAATAACTAGCAAATAATGATGTCTTTAAAGCAGGGTCTCTCAACCTTGGCACTACTGACATTCTGGGCCAGATCATTCATTGTTGTGGGGAGCTGTGTACGGCATGGTGCTTATGCAGCATCCCTGGCCGCTACTCACTAAATGCCAGTAGCATTCCCCAAACTAAGACAGCCAAAAATATCTTCAGACATTGTCAAATGCCCCTTAGAAGGCAAAATCACACCTAGTTGAGAACAGCTGCTTAAAAGAAAATAGTAAATTTATGATTTTTTAAAATAGTTTATTAGCAGAAATTTTATTTAACAAACACTTATATAGCACTTACTTTGTACCAAGCACTGTTCTAAACACCATACATACGTTAATTAACTTATCTGCATGACAATCTATGAGACAGTCACGATTATTATTCCCATTTTAGAGATGAGAAAAAACGTGGGCCCAGAGAGATTAAGTTGCCCAAGTCACACAGCTAATAAGTAGCAGGGCTGGGACTGAACCCAGGCAAGTAGCTTCAGAGTCCACGCTCTTAATCATCACCTGAAATATTCTAAATAAGGAGAAACGAAATACATTACTACTTCCAGCTTATTAGCCCCTAAAGGAGTTAGGGTTACCCATCCTAAAAGAAAAAACGTACAAATACAGGAAAAGTACAACTAAGATTTAAAAAAAAAAAAAAAAAAAACCCTAATTGGATATTCAGGAATTTTATATACAAGGGTAGTCCCCAACTTAAGACGCATTCGATTTATGACAAACTGAACTTATGACCGTCCATTTTTTTTGGTACGGTTCTTTATTATATTTATGTTTGTTTATTTGGTAAATAATACCTGTATATGTTTGGAAAATGAAACAGAGACGAACTGCAGGAAAAAGTTACCATTCTATTAAAGACAAAGAAATAGCATCTAAGTTTGAATAAAAGTTTTATTTCTTCCTGTTTCATCTCTGCTGCTTTCATCTCTACAGAAACAGGACTTAGCAAGTGGAAGACTTTGTTCCTATGACTAAATATTAATTGAAAATAAAAATGCTAAGAACTAACCCTAATAGCAAAGCCAGGCAAGGACACCACAAAAAAAGAAAATTACAGACCAGTATCTCTCATGAATATAGATGCAAAAATTCTAGCCAATAGAATTCAGCATCATCCAAAAAAAAAAATACACCACAACCAAGTGGGATTCAGATTTGGTATGCAAGGATGATTCAACATTAGAAAACCAATCAATGTAATCCACCATATAAATAGAACCAAAAAAAACAATCACATGATCACCTCAATCGACACAGAAAAGGCATTCGATAAAGTCCAACACCCATTCCTGATTAAAAAAAAAAAAAAAAAACTCTAAATGAAATAGGAATAGAAGAAAAATTCTTCAACATAATAAAGGGCATCTATACAAAATCAACAGCTAATATCATTCTCAACAGAGAGAGGCTGAAAGCATTCCATCTGAGAACAGGAAAAAGACAAAGATGCCCTTTATCATCACTCCTATTTAACATTGTGCTGGAAGTCCTAGCTAGACAATAAGGCAAGAAACAAAGGGCATCAAAATTGAAAAGAAAGAAGTAAAACTACTCCTATTCACAGATGATATGATCCTATAAATACAGAACGCCGAAGATTCCACAAGAAAACTACTGGAACTAATAGAAAGATTCGGCAAAGAAGCAGGATAAAACATTAACATATAAAAATCAGTTGGATTCCTAAACACCAACAAAGCAAACTTTGAAAAGGAAATCAGGAAAACAATACTGTTTATAATAGTCCCTAAAAAGATAAGATACTTAGGAATAAATCTAACCAGGGACATGAAAGACCTATACAAAGAAAACTAAAAAACACTATTGCAAGAGACCTACATAAATGGAAAAACATACCATGGATAGGAAGACTGAACATTGTGAAAACATCAATCTAACCAAAGTGATTTACAGATATAATGCAATCCCAATCCAAATACTAACAGCATTCTTTAATAACATGGAAAACTAATCAACTTTATATGGAAAGGAAAGAGGCCCCAGATAAGCAAAGCATTGCTGAAGTAAAAGAAAAAAGTAGGAGGCCTCACACTTCCTCTTCTCAGAACCTACTATACGATAGTTAAAACAGCCACGATAGTTAAAACAGCCTGGTACTGGTACAACAACAGACACACAGACCAATGGAACGGCATCAAGAACCGAGACATAAATCCATCCACCTACAGTAAGCTGATCGTTGGCAGAGGACCAAAGTCCATTAAGTGGAGAAAAGACAGTCAATGGTGCTAACAAAACTGTATGTCCATATGTAAAAAAATAAAACAGGACCCATACCTCATGCCATACACAAAAACTAACTCAAAATGGATCAAAGACCTAAATACAAAACCTAAAACAATAAAGATCATAGAAGAAAAAATAGGTATAACACTGTTGTTAGGTGCCATTGAGTTGGTTCCAATTCATAGCAATCCTATAGAACAGAGTAGAACTGCCCTTAGGGTTTCCAAAGGAGCGGCTCATGGATTCAAACTGCCCATCTTTTGGTTAGCAATGACACATCTTAACCACTGTGCCACCAGCACCCCTCATTACCCATTAGAGAAATGCAAATCAAAATTACAACGAGATATCATCTCACCCCAACAATAATGGCACTAATCAAAAATAAAGTAACAAATGTTGGAGAGGTTGCGGAGAGACTGGACCTCTTATGCACTGCTGGTGGGAATGTAAAATGGTACCACCAATGTGGAAAATGATACGGTGCCTCCTTAAAAAGTTACAAATAGAAATACCATACAACCCAGCAATCCCACTCCTAGGAATATATCCTAGAGAAATAAGAGCCATCACACAAACAGATGTATGCACACCCATATTCACTGTAGCATTGTTCACAATAGCAAAAAGATGGAAACAACCTAGATGCCCATCAACAGATGAATGGATAAATAAATTATGGTACATACACACAATGGAATACTATGTAACAATAAAGAACATTGATAAATCCACGAAACATCTCACAACATGGATGAATCTGGAGGGTATTACACTGAGTGAAATAAGTCAATCACAAAAGAACAAATATTGTATGAGACCACTATTATAAAAACCCAAGAAAGGGTTTATACACGGAAAAAAAAATCTTTGATGCTTACAAGAGAGGGGAGGCGGGGGGTGGGGAGCCATGGTGGCACAGTGGTTAAAAATTTGGCTGCTAACCAAAAGGTTGGCAATTCAAATCCACCAGCTGCTCCCTGGAAACCTTATAGGACAGTTCTACTCTGTCCTATAGGGTCGCTATGAGTCGGAATCGATTTCACGGCAACGGGTTTGGTTTGGTATTTACGTCAACAACAACAAATCCCAATAGAAGAGAGTGGAACCGACCAGTTGTGTGGTTAACTTTATTCAATTTTCTTCCCTCCTCCAACATCTCAGTACCTTTTTAAATAAATGAAATGACAAATATAAGTATTTAGGAGAATAATGAGCACATCGTAGGCACTTGTAAAATGTTTCCTTCATTCTCCACATTAACTCCCTGTTCCATGCCTCCTTGTTTTGTGTGTGTGGTATGCAGCTTTGTTTTATTAAATGTTTAGAAGAGATTTGTCTTTGGTAATCAAGATGTTTGAAAAAGACACAGCAATTAAAAGAACTATGAAGAACTCAGCTTCAGGTCCTCCTCCACCCTTTTCTTGTAACAGGATCAGTACGTATCAGGCGTGTTCACTATAAGCTCATTGTTAAATGGTCAGGAAAGAGCTGTATAGCATTATTCAGACAGGTTAAGTGGTCCTGATAAGAATCAAAACTAACCATATTTTTGTAGCACCCACAGATGTAAAACAAAAACAGAACTTCAATGAGCAGAACTAAAGTAGGATATTCATCTATAGTCAGAAAACATTTTGTATTATTTCTCTAATGAATTT